CACAAGAAACTCGACGACCGGAGCACGCCAATGGTGTATATTGGGGTAGAAGAAGGAAGCAAAGCGCATCGCCTCTACGACCCTCAACACGGCAGAATTCATGTCAGCAGAGACGTCGCGTTCGTGGAAGGAAAAGAGTGGGAATGGAGCGCCGATGGAGTCGAAAGATCACCTAACTGGACGGAGTTCACAGCGGAAGAGGAGGATGCAACGGTCGGCGAGTTTCCAGCCGTCCAAGCTGGACAAACAGCAGCCCGAACTGCTGCTGCTGCTGGTCGCGCTGCTGCTGGTCGCGCTGCTGCTGGTCGCGCTGCTGCTGGTCGAACAGCTCCTGCAGGAGCTCATGATGCCGCGGAGCTGACCGGAGATGAGACTGAACAGCCGGCACATCAAGCTGGACAGCCACCTGCTGCCCGAACCAGTCCGCATACACCCGTAGGTGCAGCAGGCCGAACCAGTCCAAAAATTCCTGCAGGTCCAGAAACTGATGCAGAGGCAGCGAACCCTCCTGTCTTGGACGCGTTCGGACCCCCTGAAGCTGCAGTGATGACTCCTGTACGCTACCGATCCCTTGCGGACATCTATGCGGAGACGGAGGTGATTGATCTCCCTGCGAACTATCTCGAGGCCGCATCAGATCAAGAATGGCGGATAGCTATGGAGAAGGAAATGGAGGCCATCGAGAAGAACAAGACTTGGAGACTCACGGAGTTACCACGGGGTTCCAAACCCATTGGTCTCAAATGGGTGTACAAGCTGAAGAAGGACAATGAAGGCAACATTCTCAAGCACAAAGCAAGACTTGTAGCAAAAGGGTACGTCCAGCAGCAAGGCGTGGACTTCGATGAGGTGTTTGCACCTGTGGCGAGGCTTGATACCATCAGAATAATCCTCGCCATATCAGCACAGAATGGGTGGGAGGTGCACCATCTGGATGTGAAGTCTGCATTCCTAAATGGTGATCTCCAGGAAGAAGTTTATGTGGTTCAACCTGAAGGGTTCGTTGTGAAGAATCAGGAGCACAAGGTCTACAAGCTTTCAAAGGCACTCTACGGTCTACGCCAAGCACCTCGAGCATGGAACACGCGTCTCGACAAGTGCATGAAGGGCATCGGATTTGCAAGATGCACTCAGGAGCAGGCGGTATACACAAGGAGTAACAGAGGGGATACACTCATTGTTGGTGTGTACGTAGATGACTTGATCGTTACGGGCTCGAGGGCGGATGAGATAAAGCTTTTCAAGCAACAAAGATTAAAGTGGAGTTCGTGAGCACGAGCGAGCAGCGAGCGGATATTCTCACGAAGGCACTAGCAAGGGTGAAGTTCATCGAGATGCGGGAGCTTCTAGGAGTAAGGGACTTGGAATCTCGTCCAGATTAAGGGGGAGAATGTGAGTTTGTTAATCAGTCCGGATTGGTAGTTTGCATCCTAGTTAGTAGATAGAATTCTAGTTAGAATAGAATACTAGTTAGTAGAGAGTTTTCTAGTTATTGGATAAAGATTAGAGTTGTAATCTTATCCCTAAGTGTGTATATATATGTAAACAGGTCTTTGTATTTAGGAAAAAAAAAAATAAGAAAAAGAAAACTCCTCCACCGAATCCCTCTCTCTCCTTCTCTCTGTTTTCTTCCTACAGGCTCTGTTCTGTTTATAAACTTCCTGCAGGTTCTGTTTTTTTTCCTGCAGCAACAATTTCTTCAAGAATTCGGCCACATCAGGAAGTTGATTAGTTTATTTCTTTTCTCCTACTATATTCTTTGCTGGGATATTGGTTCTCAGTCATAATTCGAAACTTAGGCCGATCCTATTCAAAGCCAACATTCACGTGGGTCCCTCTGACCCTCCTCCTCTCTTGCGTGATGCATCACGCGCGAGACAAATAGCTTTTTTGAGCTAGAGGGAAACAAATACATTTTTTTACATTTTAAAATCTTAAATTTTGGAAGGGCTAATGTGGAGGGGGGGGAAAGATGCGAAGACGCCACAAAACTGAAAAAAGAGATAGTAGTCGATACGATGAACTTTATTTTCCAAGGAAATGATAATAATATTAAAACGCTAATTCAGCTGTAACCTACCGTCCCGGTACAGAGTTACTGCTGTTTTTAATATATAATAATAATAATATGTAAGGTAACAAGAATGTAAGGAAGGCAGTGAAAGAAGTTCGTAGCTAATAAATTGTTCAAAGAATTTGTTCATTTTCTTCATAGTCCATTTAACAATCTAATCCTCATTTTCATTTTCCACCCCCATATTCATTCAAGAAAAAATTGGTCTCATGATATATCTCGCTGTAGAAGATCTTTATTTATTTGTTTGTAACGTACCCCCCCTAGCCCTAGGTAGGTAATGTCAAGAGCAGAAATTACCGAGCGTTTAGTATCTTTCATTCTGACCGGAGGAGAAATTACCGAGCCTTTAGTATCCCGTCGCGCTTGGCGCCAATATTTCCTTGTTCCTTTCCTATGTTTTCTTTAACGGATATTGTTCGTCCGAAGAGGGACGATGGGCCCGTGGAGAAAAGTTTTAAGTAGTAAAGTGATGGACGCAAGAGATAGATGGGCCCATGTAATGTGGAGAGTTGCTCTGTTTCTTTATGCTAACTGGGCCCCCACATTATGGTTACCACATTATTGCTACAAGAGTTTCCCAACGACATGTATATAATATATGCAAGTAGTAGCCCTGAAACCCTAGGAAAGGGGTGTCTGAAACCCTAGGGGGAAAGGTGGGTCCTACCCTGCTTCAGAGTTGTTGCTGTCAGAAACGTTGGACCAAGCTGCACCTCATATCACTCTAATCTTCGTACTAATAAACTCATCCCCGCTTCCAAAAACCCTACCACACCCCCCTTTATTAATATCCTTTGGATAATCTTATGTACGTAACTATAATTTATTTATTTTTATTGTAGTTACGGTGGTCGGGTCGGATATACGCAGCTGTGGTTGCTTTGAACGTAAACTTATATGGGCTTTTCCTCCGGCGGTAAACATGCATAAACCTCATTAGCAGCTCAAAAAATTAATTTGTAATTGCGATTTAAGTTAGAATATTGTGCTACTCCCCAGATGTAGCGGAAGCTGATCATCTTACAACTAAAATCTAAATAAATGCTAAACTTCAACAGAGGTCTTTGGTGTATTGGCCAAATATGATCACTTTTGAGTTTTTAATATTCGGAAGTCGTCACTAATGTTACCTCTGTCATCGTCGGCCAAGTATTTTCTATAGAATTCCGTTAAATCTTGCTAAATTCGCAATGTCCCGACGCCACTGTCAAATTAGGGTCTGTTTGGTTGGATACTGAGAAGCTCGAAAGCTGCCACAACAGTCCCATCTGTGGTAGCTTTCGGGCTCTTTCCCACCCAAAAACGAAGAAACAAACAGCCCCTTAGTGAAACAAATTAGTCAAATTCCGAGTTCGAAAAAAACTTGTAGTTGTACTAAGTTTTTGCTGTTATGACGGCGACGTAGCATAATAAACTTAGTGTCTGTTAGGAAGAAATATTTGGAGGTGATGAAGAAAGTGTTTAAGAATTCGGGAGACAATAGAAAATTTAGGAAGAAGAAGATTTTTATTTCTTTTGAACACCTTAGAACAACTTGGAACTTCTTGATTACAAATGAGAGGAAAGGGGAGGTATTTATAGCTTCAAAAGTACAAAATATCTAGAATATTTTAATCCTAAATCTAGAGAGTTCTAGCATAATATCTAGAATTTTATATTACAATTGTCTAGAGAAATATCTAGATATTCATTCTCTATAATTTTCTAGAACATTTTAAGGAGGTGGAGATGTTTAGATATTTCTAGAGAAAACTCTAGAACTTGAATTAAGTATTGGGTTTTGGCCCAACAAGTGATAATTAGATCATTGATCCAATAATTAAACTTGATCCAAAATCAAGTTTACTTTTCAACACCTCCTGATGGATTATTGGGGTCCTGGAGTGTTAAACCACTGGGCCATTGCTGCACTTATGTTTTTTATATGTAATATCTGGTACATATTTAGATTTTACTGGGATCCTAGGACCCCATTGGACTCAATGTAACTCCGCCCCTGGTATTGGCCAAATATCACTTTTGAGTTTTTAATATTCGGAAGTCGTCACTAATGTTATCTTTGTCACTAATGTTATCTTTGTCACCAGCCTAAGTATTTTCTGCAAAATTCTGTTAAATCTTGCTAAATTTGCTTGCAATGCCACGATGTCAATGCCAAATTAGGGTCCTTTTGGTTGGATACCGAGGAGTTCGAAAGCTGCCACAACAGTTCCATGCATCTGTGGCAGCTTTCGGGCACTTTCTCACCCAAAAATGAGGAAACAAACAGCCCCTTAGTGAAACAAATTAGTCAAATTAGGAGTTTGGAAAAAAACTTGTAATTGTACTAAGTTTTTGCTGTTATGGCGGCGACGTGGCATAATAAACTTATAAACTTAGTGTCACAACTCTCTTTTTTTTATAGCCCACATGGCAGTGTCACATTGCAGACAAGTCAACAAGATTCAACAAAAATTTGTAAAAAAAACCTAGGCTGTGGATAGAGAAAGCGTTAGGAACTTTCCGGACATTAAGAACCTAAATGATATTTGGGCGATATATACTTCAACGACCTCTATCGAACTATTGACTTAAATAAAG